GGTGAAGTTACAATCACGATTGGAAGAGGAGGAACAAGCGAAAGCAGCATTGATGGGAAGGATACAAAGATTAACTAAACTAATCTTAGTTTCTACAAAAAGTACAATGCAACCTGATATCCATGAAAAGCCTGGCCATAGACGCAGACATTCTTTCGGAGAAGATGAGGTAACAGCTAGCTTCTTATACATAATGTGCTGACTAGTAATCGAACTGATAATACTTTGTGTTACAAAAGCATTAAAGACATATTACCATATATAGAGCGCTTTATGTTGCTAAACGTACCCGTATGCTCATAAATCTTCTATCATGATGTACATGTTTATCTTCACTGATCATGCAGCTGGCTTACTTACCGGATAGAAAACGAGAATACATGATAGATGAGGATGCTGGAAGCATTGACTCTNGCATTGACTCCGAACTATCAGCCGATGGAAGAGAGGGTGTCACAAACCTTGATGAATTGGTCAAAGATTTTAGAAGAAACAGAAGGAGAGGGATGCTTGGCTGGTTCAAGTTAAAAGTAAACTTTTAATATCTCTCAATCCTCTTCATATACGACCTTTTCAGAATGTGACAAGTCACTAGTGCACGATATAAATTTCTAATGCTACTGCAACAGTGAATCTCAATCACTGATTTCCAGCTGGTAAAATAGAATGTGAACGTTTCCTATTACGTAAAACAAAGAAGGAAAAGTTAAGCATGCAAGAAATTGGCATATGTAAGGTTGGGCGCAAAAGATTTAACTCTTAAGAAATATTAGCTAGATATCAGAAGAATATGATATTGCGGACAACAGGTGGATTAATCTTTTCTGGTTGGCATACTTTTGAGATACAAAAATCCATCCTTTCACTTTTGCGGGTTGGATAATGCACTGGAAGAATTTCCCATACCAAGACTTAAAATGGAAGAATAAATCTGTTATAGCATGAAATGGAACACTATTGTAAAAATCAAAAGGTAGATTGTGTAGTACTAAATGACAAAACAAAAGAAAAAGGAAAAGAGAAGCACAATAATATTCGTCTCCTAAGTATCAAAGTTTTATCCTGATATCCTCAGTGTTTGTCTTTCAACAATGATATGTATTCAGAAGTTAATTTTTTTTAGAATCTGCAATCTTATAATGATTATTTCCTTGTTCTAGAAATAATATGTTCTAAGATACTAATGATTTACCGTCTTGGTATGATGTCAGTGGAAGACATTTGACTCTTAGATAAACATACTAATGCATAGTTTATGCTACAGAAGCCTGAAAATCTGATTGGATCATCACCAAGTGCTGATTATGAAAGCTCGGCAAGTGGTTCACCTGCATCCTCGTTGAAGTCATTGCAAAGTAGAGTTACATTCAGTGATATGAAGGAAGGGCGGAGAAGATCTGTTAATAAGCGAGGGGATGATGCTCCAGCGGTAGACTTTGTCCCAGATAGAACCCAAGCAGGTGATTTGTTCAGTGCAGCTACTGGAGGTCGACTTCCACCAGTAAGTTCTTCTAATTTTGTTTTAATTTCTGGTTAGTTGATATGAAGAATGAAGAAAAGCAGATTGGATTTTTTTTTGTAGAACTTAGTTTGTCTTGTGTAGTTGATGGAACTAGATGACATGTTTTACCTTGTTTCTTCAATAATATGTAATTTACTAAAATGTAGTCGATCCAGTAAATTCATTCATGTGTTTTACCCAGCTGGTTTCTTGCAGTTATTTTAACAAATTCTCAGCTCTGCACCCACTCCTTCAATCTGAGTTTGTCCTCTTATCTATTAAAAAAGTTTAAATTTATACAAAATTAAGCATTTTTTTTTTTTATAAATTTTAAAGAAGATTCTTGCCCGTTCTTAAAAGCTACCTTATGTTAACCCATGGTTTTCTTTACTTGTTGTGCTAAGACAAATGGCATGTTATCTGGTCCTCCTTAGTGTCTTCATTAACTTTGAGGAAATATCAGACGTTTTAGCTGTGGTAAGGCCTCAAACTCATTTATATTCTGCTGTAAGAGTTGATTACGTGGTTATAGATGCTTTTTCCAGATGTTCAATCTTCAGTTGGAGCAGTTGGAGTTATAGGTGTTTCTTTTTAAATAGGTAGAGCTGGAAACCTTTGTTTAGAGAACTGCTTAATTTTTTCTTCGGAAGTAATTAACTTAATGCATGTGCTACTGGTGCCTTTAAGATGCAAGATCAAATTCACTTCAGGTTAAAGAGGCTTAGAAACAGAAAGATACAATTGGCTTCCAGGTTTTGTATGTCATGACATCCCCCAAAATCATGTTCTTTGTGCACTCTATAGGTTGTTAATGTATGCTAAACTGTCAGCTTGTATGCAATCTCACGGATAATGGTTTTATAGTTGTCTTCTGCTTATAACTCTGCTAAGATGCTCAATCTTCTTCTGCAGACTGGGACCACTGTAACTGATCAAATGGATCTTCTTCACGAGCAAGTGAAGATGCTAGCTGGTGAGGTTGCATTATGTGTTAGTTCTCTTAAACGAGTATCAGAGCAATCAGTTAAGAGTCCTGAGGACTTGCAGCTTCAGGTTAGCCATTTATTGACGTTGAACTTTATAATCTTTTCCCAGATATGATGGATATTGAATGTGTATATGAGTAATCATACCTATATAATTGTCTCATGATTAGGAGCAAATGCGAAACTTAAAGGATGAAATCAGAGAAAAAAATTTTCAGATGCGTCATCTGGAGCAACGCATGGTTGGATCAGTAGAAATGACACCGCTGGGTTCACTCAATATTGAGATTTCTCAGGTGAATTTAAAAAAAAGTGATGCTTAATACATATAAATCTTTGGAAAAGTTTGGAGTTTTATAGGAGCATACATACTTATAGTGAACCTCTGAAGCAGCTACCTAATCTAGAACAGGGCTAAATTGATGAAGTCCATAATCCTTTAGCATTTTGATGGATTGATGACCAATGCGATTCAATTGGAATTGGGCCAAGTTCAGTAAAACCTTTATTCTTTTGCTTTTTCTGCATTTGTTGGTTTGGTTCACAATAGGGAGGGTTCCAGTGTTCACCCAATTTGAACGAAAAAAACCATCCTTTTTTGAAGGCTTGTTTGATCTTCTTGAGCTCATTCTTGTCATTTTTCACCTCCATCTCTGACAAATACTCTTCTTGTAGCATATTCTTTAAGAATCTTACAGTTTCCAATATGACCATAGCCCTAAACCTAGGTCAAAGAAGTTTCTAGGAAGTAAAATCCCTAATGAACTCTAATATAACTCCCTGGCAAACTGAGTAATGCAAAGTTTTAATTGAACGGGACTGCCTAATTTACCTGGAATGGCGTATGTGTATTCAGGGCCTTACATTCTGCTAGCCTGTGCTGCACTGAAGGTTCATGTCCATGCTGTTGGGAATTGTAGCTTATAGTTGGGTAATTACAACAATTCACCAAGCCTTGGTGATTATAATCATCTGTATCTTGCTGTATATCCTATACGTACCCTTTCGACTGTAATTGTCCAGCATCTGTTGATACCTCTTTAGTGAGATCAATGGTTGCCTATCAAAAGATACGAGCAGGCAATTAAAGAGGAACACTATTCACTGAAATGTGTCCTGCTCCTAGACCAAACAGGAGAGTAAGAGAGATGGAAGAACAAAAGGCTACGTTATTGCTTGCAGGACACATCCCAAGTCCATGACTAGTTTCTTACCATGTGTCGTTTCTTATCACAGAATAGCATTTGAATTCTGACTTTACTTAAATATAGGCATTGTCCAAGCTAGCTGCTCAGCTAAATGAAAAGACCTTCGAGCTGGAGGTATGGTCAAGTTTTTTTTGAGCTGGTTTAGACTCAAACATTTGATATTAACTACCTAATTAAATGCTGCTGACTAACTCGACTAAGTTTGTCATCATGAAAAGATTAAATCTGCAGACAACAGAGTACTGCAAGAGCAACTAAACATGAAGGTAAAATTGTAGTCTTTCTATGATCTGCTATTCAGATGTTACATTCTTCTGAACTCTAATGAAAATCTTTTGGTCCCTGAAGATGTCCGAGAATTCTGAGATGCAAGAAACTATCCTTCTGCTGAGGCAACAACTTGATTCCTTATTATCAGAAAAAAGTTCTACGTGCCAGCAACAGGATGCATATCATGACGCTGCCACACTAGCAATGTATTCGGATGAATATACAGAAGCTAAACTCGAAAGGGAGGCTGGGGTTTGTTCATATGAAGAAAGAATTCCGAATGAAAGTACTCAAACTAGTATTATGATATCAAATGAAAGACTTGTGCATGAAGTCCCCAATGAATGCAGTATTGATGCATTCTTGAATTCTCAGCTTCTTTCACAGGTAGGCTTTCCTTTAATTTTATGCTTTTGATGCAATTTTTTAAAATATAATATATTTCATGTTTTTCTCTTCGTAGGCTGCTGAGATAGAGTCCCTGAAACAAGAGAAGGAGCAAATTGTTGAGGAGAAGGAAGGGTTAGAAATTCACCATCAAAAGCTAGCTGAGGAAGCTTCTTATGCAAAAGAGCTGGCAGCAGCAGCAGCAGTTGAGCTCCGAAACTTAGCTGAAGAGGTAACAAAGCTCTCTTACCTAAATGCCAAACTCGCTGCTGAAAAAGATGCGCCTTGCAAAAATAACTGCTGTAGGAGATCTGCTTCATTTGATATGAAGCAAAATGGTGATGGTGGAGGTCGACCTGATGCACATGTTAGGAAGACAGAAGATTTTTTATCGGTGGATGAGTTGGAGCAAGAGCTGAATGCACGACACCAAAGAGAAGCTTCTTTGGTTGCTGCATTGTATGAGAGAGATAAAATGGAAAGTGAACTACGAAAACAACTTGATGATGCAAAAAAGCGAGAAGAAGATATGGAGAATGAGCTTGCCAATATGTGGATACTTGTTGCAAAGATGAGGAAATCTGGTCCTGTTCCTGAGACTGTCTCATTTGAGGGGTCTGATGTGTCTAATATCTTGGAAGCAAAATTAAGAAATGACATTTCCTTGTCCAATGGTCATTTGGAGAAAAAATTTAATAATAGTGAAAAATTTGAAAACATTCCTGCTGTGGATGCATTGGAACTATTGAAGTATCGTTACCATAAGGAAAGGAAAAGGTGCAAGGAACTAGATGATTTAGTTTCAAGATTAAAGGTATGTTCTTCCCCATTTCCGCGCCTTATTTAAGTTGGTGTCTGAATAATATGCTTTTTCCCAGAAGCTACTACCTTGCTATTACCTCACCGTGTTTGTAGAGCAATGGATGAAGAGCAGACTTCTAAAAACTCCAAAGAATGAAGAATTCCTTAACAATTTTTGAGTGAGAGAGAGAGAGAGAGAGAGAGAGAGAGAGAGAGAGAGAGAGAGATTTTGAGAATGAATCAAAGATTAAAGAGATCCATCACAGAGTTAGACAACTTCATAACTGATTCTAACTGAATTCTTGAATGCTACTAACCAACTAATCTGTGAACGTTGTAGCTAACTAACTAATTCTGTGAACTACAAACACTTTCATCAAATGACTATTATTTGGCTAGCTTTGATTGGGAGCTTCTCTAGTGTTTGCTACTTCTACTGTTTTTTGATATCAATGAGTTTTTTTTCCTGTTCTTGTCTGCTCCATGCTTCATTTACTATTCCTAACTCTTGATTTATAGCCTGGTGTTTGGAAAATAAAAACTGGCTCTTGCAATTGAAGCTAATTAAGAAGAATTACCAGAGCAATTAACTATGAAATTGAAAAGTAATTATCAATTTTTCAATTGAGGTTATATTTTTGTGGGCGTGTTGCAACTACATTTTAATGGTGTTTGATTTGAGTTGTTAAGATTTATAGTCATTATTCTTTAGTGGATGCCGAAATTAATAATTTTAATTGCAAATATGTTGGGTAACTTTTTTTCTCTCTAAATTGTGAGCTTTACTATAAAGAACTGTGAGCATTGCTTCTTGCTTAAAGACTCAGGAGTCTTGTGCTTGTCGCATTTTGCACTCTTCACTTGAGACACAATGTTATCGATGCGGCATTTATTTGGACATCACTAGATAAATCACATTTTTACTGGATTTAGGGTGATGATTTGGGTGGCTTGGATATTAATGCACTCGAAGAGCTGCAAAGCCTTCACGTTGAGGCCATTACCAAGATTTGTCGTGCAAAGGTTAGAGCGCTCCCTGCATTAAGTTTGTTAATTGACTGAAACAGTAAATGTTTTTTCCACTTTTGTTGTGATTCTGTTAAGTATCTTTAGATCAATTGTCGCTGTGTATTTTGCTCATGTCGTCTTCCCAGAATTTCCATCTAAAATTCTATCTACCAGGAAGAACTGATGATGCTTTTTGAGTCGTAGTAATATATGTTCCATCAAAAAGACCACTAGTCCTAGATAATTCAATCTTACGTGTGTAATTCTTCAATATATGGTTTATTTAATGAACTAAAGATATTTAAGGGACACCGCTGTGGTATTCTCAGTGCTAGGTTCTCCAGATATGAACCTCCTAAGCAAATCAAATATTTGAAAGTTTGATAATTGACTAAGTGGAAGAATTGTCTACATGCCTGTGAAAACTCACAGATTGACATCTGTAGCATACATAAACAGATCTACATGGAAAAGGAGGTTCACAGTTGAAAGCTTAATGTAGTTTTTGGTGTCCTCGTAATCCAGCTTGGAGAGCTTTTCCCAAGACATGGCTTGTAGATTTGCAGTGTAGCTAGGAGCTGATTCGCTCATTACTCTAGGATGGTTTCAGCTGGAGCCTTGACTGTTGAAATGCAGAAAACATTGATTATGTGTTTTTCCCTGTCCAACCACAGGTTAAAACACAATTGTGTCACTACTTTATGGTTATTGTTGTCTTGAAAAATCTGTTGTTGTGCATACCATGCAATAATTCATAGTTCCTTTTATTTTTAATCTTTCCATGAGGGTCTGGTCGCATTGAACAAAAGTCTACGGCTGTTCATTAGATTTATTACCTTCTGGAACTTGGCCAGCTGATCCATCATCTTTCCGGGATATCAGAGTCATTGAAGCTACAGCTGCTTCAGATAAGGGTATCGATTTTTCTTGTGATTACCAGTGAACTTATAAATGTCTTGGAAAGTTCAGCACTCCCATGAGCAGTATAAGAGAATTTAGTTACATTTTTTATTGAGGATGTCTGCCTGGTCTTTATTGGTGTGTGGTATTAGGTGTGGATCAGTTGGTATCTCGTATAAGGTTGTCGAGACTAAGGGTGACAAGTGGGCCGGCCCGGTCCCGCAGGCCATGGTCCCTAAATAAACGGGCTAAACATGCTTTTTCTAGGAACCGACCCGGGACCGAGCCCACTAACTCATAATCCCTGGTTAAACGGGTCGGGTCCGCGGTCCAAACGGGCTAAATGGGCCCATCGCTAAGTAGTAATTTTTTTTTAATTAAATAGAACTTAGAGACAAAGATGTTAAAAAAACATTCAAGGCAATGCCTTGTAATTTTATTATAGAATTGTGACCTAACTTTTTAATTCAAATTTAAAGACAAAAATATTGTAAAAAAATATTCAAAGCAATCTCTTGTAATTTTATTATAGCAATAAAAAATATGGCAATATCTTTCTTAGTTTTCCTCCCCCCTATGGAATGAGCACAACAATTTATATGAGTAAATAAATAGCTCAAATATTGTTCATATTCATGCTTATATTTATAAATATTGCTCTTTACGGTTGTGCGAGGAAAACCTTTATAAGTAGGATTATAAATTTTTCTAATGTAATGCACAAACGCAGTGTCAGAAGGAAAACTATAGGGTAAGCACATAACAGTTACCAATTTTGCCAGTTCTTCCCGATCTTTTCTTGGATCATAATATAAAATACCACCGGTAATAGTGTTAATTCCCGGTTGAAATTGATTTGAACCGGTACAAGGGTCAGTCTGACTAGGATTAGGTGCACTTTTTCCCTCGGCCAGAGCTTTCAGACGTTGATATTTGACGTTATCATTAGGGTATTTTTTTTATGTGTCTAGCCAAAGATCCCGTCCCCGACCACGTTCTCACATATTTAAAGCTAACTTCATACTACAAGTTTTACACTTAGCCTTATTTTTTGAAACTAGTTGAGTAAAAAGTGGCCAAACAGAAGATGTTTCCTGCCGTTTGATAGGTTCTCTAGAAAAAGTAGGGACAGTGACAAGAGTATTAGATGGGTCATCATTTGGATTAGCAGCGTTATCACTAGTTGGATCAACACCAGGAGCAGGACTAGTGGGTGTATCATCTTCCGGTTTAGTTTCATCAAGGTCAATTTCCTCATCATCATTTTTATCAATAGTATTATAATTATTAGAATAGAGAGCATTTATTAATTCATGGTTTAAAAATTCACTGGGTGCAATATTATGGCAAAATTCAGTGTCGCTAAATTGTAATAAACTATTATCGGTATCAAGAATAGCAGGTGTAGGACGGCTACGAGGTATGGTTCGGGGAGCTGGGGGCAGGGTAGGAGGAACAACAGTATCACTAGATTTGCCAGTCTTGGATTTTCCCTTATTCTTACTTTTACCAAAAATATTCCTTAAGGAAGACATCTTAGTTAATCAAGTAATAGCAAATGAATAAAACAAACAAAACTATAATATTAAGACTTACGAGTTGGAACGAGTTTTCCGAATTGACGAACAACTTGTTGAAAATTGATTATTGATGAAGACTAAGACTCCAATTCACCAACTTCATAATTTTTTCACAAATTGTAACAACCTCAATATTTTTTGACTATAAATACACTCTCATTTTCCTTAGTCGGTCGGGTTGGGCGGTCCCGGCCCAACCCAGTTGCTAGCCTTAGTCGAGACAATTAATATTTTCTTCTAAGCATATTCAAATGTCCTTCCATAAGTGCATAGGCTTACCTCTTGTTTTTCCCTCTGGATCAGGAAGAGATGGTAATTTGAAAAAGAATATCTTGTTTTAACTGGAAAAACCTCTTAAAACTATTTTTTCCCAACTTGGGACTTACAGTGACATTTATTTCTTCTGAATATGCAGTGCTTAATCGATGTTCTATAGCATTTTGCTTGGCGTTCCTTGACCACCCCCGAACATCTAAGGTGAGCTTCCCACAACTAACGCAAATAGACTTTATTCTTCAACGGCCTGATTATGTTTTCTCTAGAGATAGATATGTTATTCGGTCCCTATGACTAATTGATTAAATGCATCGGTAAGATAATGACATGATTTAAAACCTTCCGTTCATGAAATTGACTTGCATTTTTATTCAGTGAAGTTTGATTTCTTTCTCGATTTTCTCTGTTAACATAATCGTTAAATGTGTTTAGCTAAGGCTGGTCTCCAATCTCATACACTTAGCAAAATGAGATGTAATCAAACCCTGATGTTTCTTGGTTGAGTAGCTGAAATAAATTGAATGTTGTAGCTGAATGGGTCATTGAAGTAGCCAATCATACAACTCTGCAAAAAAGTTTCTCTCGCCTTTAACTCAGAACCTGCTGCTTGAGTCACTACCTTGTCCGGCCATTGATATATTCTGGCAGCTTCAACAAAAGGCTTTGTGTGAATATCAGCAAAATGATTGATTTTGTTGTTTGAAAGTTTCCCCAGGAATCTCAATATCTTGTCTGCAAAATCTCCCCAGCCCCTGTTATGTTCATCTTCCGGAACAATGATTGCATTGCTTCTATCTCCCACCCAAGTTTCAATTCTGACAAAACGGCCATAACTGTTGAAGTTCTGATACACTCAGTAAATGTATGTTTGAACCTTCCTTCCCCAACGTCTACATAAGTTCCCTGTACCCCTGGATGCTAGAGCAAGAGATTCACAAACCCAGCGCAGATTCTCTTCATCAATGTAGATTCTGCTCGTAAATCTCCTGTTCCTTTCTATCAGTGTATACCATCTAATTCGTCCTTCATGATTCCCTGCCAATTCGAATGATTTAGAGCCAGATGTGAAGAAAGTTCTTTCCCCCATGATTTGAAATCACCGGTGAAGATTTACACAACATGTTTCAGAAGAGAGAGAGAGAAAGAGGAGAGAGAAGAGAGAATAATTGACCTTCCATCAATAATTTCAGTAAAAAAATTCTGTTCTTTTTAACATTATTTGGTTCCTTAACTTTGAAACCCTCCCCGCTGTCCCCTGCGGGTCTTCTTCCTTAAGCAAAACAAACAAAACCCAGCTACACTTTGGATCTAAAGTTGCAGATATTTGTGTGAATGGCACTGAGGTCAAACATTCCAGTGGGTCTAGGAATTATTATTTTTATTATTGAGATTGGATTTTGTAGAGTTCTTAAAATGATAGGGGTGATGAAGAAGAGGAGGTTTTAGAAGAAGAGTTTTGGTTGTTGATGGAGGAAAAAGAGAAGGGTTTAGTGGGTGGGGATTGTGTTTGTTGTTGGTGGTGGGGTGGGTATGAGGATTTGATGATGAGAAGAAATAGGGGAAGTGGGTTTGGATTTGGGGCAGAGATGGAGGAGTTTTATGGTGGCTGCCATTGTTGTGATAGCTGCCATTGTTGAAGAGTTTTTACATGCCTTGCAAAATAGAAAGAGGCGAAGTGAGATGCTAAAGGTATACTTGTAAATTTAAGTATTTTATTTTTTAAAAAATTTTATTAACACGTGTCATGATTTTATTGGCGCGTGATATCACACATATTCTGAAAAACTGGTCAAGAAAAAAGTGGTGTGTCTTAGCTACTTTGGAAAGGTTGAGTGTGTAAGGTGACTTTTATTCCCAGAAAGTATCACACAGGGATTAGTTGTATAGTTCAGGCAGGTTGAGTGTGTAAGGTGACTTTTGTTCCCAGAAAGTGTGTATAACAGGGATCAGGTGTATAGTTCAGTATTTTGCCTAAATAATATACTGAAAGCGTTAAGAGTTTGGGATGTTCTGAGAAACCAAAACACAGATACGAAAAAAACATGCAAGGAGATTTTAAGAATTGAAGTTCATTTCTGTTTGTTCAGAAGCCCATCTTCGTAAGCATCTGAATTCTGCGATTCAGCACTAATGCCTTACTCCTTTGTGATTTCGTCATTAAATTTCCAAACTGCCAGTTGAACTCATTTGAGTTTACTATTTCATCTTATTATATCTTAATGTAGTATGTAAGAAATTGTTTTCAGTTTCTATCTCATATTTGGTTTCCATTTCTCGCAGGTATAAGCCTAGTGTATTGACTCAATTCAGATGTAACGTCAACTGGTAAACTCATCGTCTATCGCCAAAACTTCATACAACCAGCAATCACGATGGGGAACCAAAGTGTATATCTAACTGAAAGACTCAAAGCCAGGAGAGGATTCGTTGACTAGTGATGTGCGCCAGACCTGTACTATTATTTGTATTTGGTATACACCTTATACCCTTAGTGTAGATCATAGGGAACATTTCAGTAAAACGTTTGTACTCCCAATGACTGATCAATTATAGTTGTTACTCTACAACATGTACAGAAAATGGCTCGAAGCCCACATTAGCTTCACTTTGTCACCTTATTTTCTTGCCTGCTGCTTCGAAGAATCAAACTTTGCAGGACATGTCTGTCCGAATATGCCCATGTTGGTAGGGTATGCATCATAATAATCTTCTCCATAATCACGACTGATGCTGTTCATGAAATGAAAATGTTTTCTGGTGAGGAATACACTATCCAAGTAATGTGAGAAGCAAGAGAATGTAAATAAAGGTTATGGGAATACGGTAGCCTATTGCAGTTTGCTGGAAGCCATCCAACCCGTTGTTTCTCGTTATCGTATATCACCATTTTGTCCAGTAGAGAAATATCTGTAGATGAAAAAAATAATCAGAAAGCTTATTAAATGCACAAAGAACTTGGATACCAACTCTTATCAAAATCTAGTTTCCCCCAAGTATTTATGCAGATAAAGAACTGCATTTTCTCTTCATTTTGTTGATGCTATTGTATCGTTATTTGTAAATGTTAAAACACAACCTTGCAAGTAAGCATGGATTCATTTACAGGACACTGGTGGAGACTGATTTTGTACCTCCAATCACATTATAATTTCCTAATCCAACTTCTGTACCATTCAATATGCCCAAGCATACATTACCATGCTCCTGAGAGAACAAGAGCAGAAATCAGTTATTGATATAGTCCAGATATAATGGAGCAGTTTAAAAGTTGCATACCGTAAGTATAAGATAGGCCTCTGGCTGGAGTTGAAGCTCAACATTCTTAGCTTTCATGAAACTCAGCGTTAATGGCTTGAAGTAGCTCGTGGCATCATTAACAGATTTGAAGGATTTGGAACCATTCCAGCACACAGGAAGGCTTTTTGTCATCCACTGCATCAGTCAGCTGCTTTGCATTTATGTTTTTCTTTATCTGAAGATAGATTATTGTAAGTGCACAGACAGAATGTCAACTATTTCGAATATAAAAACACTTCCACATCTTACCGAAGATACCAAAATATCGTAAGCTTCAGAATTCAAGTAACTGAAGGTACTTCCACTGTCAAAAATTAGAGGAAAACCCTTCACTTCTGTGGCCTGTCCATCAAAAAAGAGCTCTGCTGGTCCCAAAGAGTAATGCTTTCTGAAATCATAGTAATACATCAACATCTTGCTCAGAAAGTTCAAATTGCTCCATATAAATCCCTATAACATAGCAGAGGACATACTCGGAAGATGTTCGCATGATTGGTGTCCAAGCAATTCCAGATGAGGGAAGAACATCATCGCCAAAGAAAAGAAACCCTCCACCTTGCCCACTTAAACAGTGACCCACTACATTTCGGATAAGACCCAAGCCACTCAATTGTGATACAATGCTTGATTTTCCATTGCCCAGACCAAGAATTCCATCGGTAAAAGGTGGATGAGTAAAAACTGGAACTTCTTGATTGTAACCACAACTGCAAAAGACGACTCAATTAATTTTTCTCTTTTGGCAAGGCAAACAATTTCATCGATGAATAACAACTTGGTGTCAAAAACTATGTAAGATGACTCAATTCAGGAGCTCATCTGTTGGCAAGGCAAACAATTTCATCGATGAATAACAACTTGGTGTCAAAAACTATGTAAGATGACTCAATTCAGGAGCTCATCTGTTGGCAAGGCAAACAATTTCATCGATGAATAACAACTTGGTGTCAAAAGCAAGGCAAACAATTTCATCCATAAAAAACAACTTGGTGTCAAAACTATGTAAGATGACTCAATTCAGGAGGTCACAAATTAGAAGCATCACATTTTAACAAAAGAATGTGAGTGAAAGAACCAAAAAGGCCTCGAGAGTTAAAATTTTTAAGGTCAAATAAAGGTATACTAAATGCTTCTCACCCAAATACTAGATGAGGAACAACAATGCTACCATTGGTGAATCGTAGTGGAAAAGCGTCTTTGACTAGAACTCCCAAGGATGAACCACGATCTGCATATGCAACCTCATAATCACATTGCTCATCCGGGCCGTGACAAGGATGGTTCTCGGGCCAGTGAAGGGACGTGCATACAGGATCCTTACACGTGACAACATTTTCATTTGGTTTGTAAAGACTGTGAGGGGCCTGCCATGGCGCATATTCATGTGTACGTTAAGACAAAATAGACTAATGCTTTAGGGTTGAACGTGCATTTATATAATGACATACAAATATCAGATGAACTCATGGTCTTTCAGGATGACTTTTACTTCAAAGATTTTAAGTTACAGACAAGGAAAAGGCAGTAATATACCGGGGTGCATTTCGCACAAGGCGCATCACACTGCAGCCAAGTTAGGTCACTACCAGTGTCTATATCAAGAGAGTAAGGTTTGGGAGGTTGGCCAACCTCAAGTGTCACCTGATAATACCTGCACGTAAAGAGACCACCTGGATTTACAAGAAAGAACATGGATAAAAATATGTTTATTTCAGAATTTCAGACAGAAGAAAAAATATGAATGTCAGATCTTGAAAATTACAGATAATCTTTTATTTATCTAATTCTTTTGGTTTTTTAATAACGGTGGTGTTTGGGCTAGTTTATGTGCACCTTGACTAATCCACCAGAAACCTGCTATCTCCCACCATTACATGTATTGGATAACTCTGTCTACAAAGCTTAGACACGGGAAGCAATCACTTAAATCAGTCACAACTTTCCCTTCAGCACTTGTACTTTCATTTAATATCTATCAGCTAAGATTCAGAAGGAACTCTATTGTCCACAATTATAAAGTAGAAAGTAGGAATTTGTGCCTGATCATCTGTTTGACTAATATTAGAAATCCCTTCTTTTCACTGTATTGGCCCCAATTCTCATATATTTCCCCCTTTTCTCTTCAAACTATTCTTCAATTTCTTCCCAATCAGCAAACAATATAAGTATGATTGACCAGCCAATAGTCCTACTATTATCACAAAACATAGTAAGTATCAACTATCAACAAAGCCTTGTTTCATACAATATTGACTAGTATTTATCACCAAACACAGTACTAATTACCCCCCCCCCCCCCA